TCTGAACGGGATTTTCTTTCTTTCCCTCGAAGACAAAGAAACTGTTAAATTTTTGAAGGTTTGGTTTTTCTTCTTTTTTTTTTCTTCAACAGAACACGCTTTCGCTTTTGCTTGTTTAGTTTGGTTCCGGGAAACAGAGAGCAATGAGGAAAGTAAAGTGTGAGACCAGAGCGGGAAGTGTTCTAATGGAAATCAACTACCCCGCTTTTATACCTTCCTATTTATGCCACGTCACCAAAAATTACTTTAATCTCCTTAATCAATTGGACAAATCAAATTTCATTACACAATGTATATCCATAACTATATATAGTAAATATATAAACGAGCGTGATGATATTTATAGCTCTTTGATTCATTTAAGTTCAGTAGGTAATCTTCAAAAAAACCGAGATACCATTGTTCCAGCATCCACATGCAAATCTTTACAGGCATACATTGAAACCCTAGAGCTTTACACGACGGTTATTCCCATTCTAAGGCCAACTAGATTGAATGCAAGCAGTGGAATGATGGAAATCATATTGCAGCAAGCCAGCAACCAATTTCTCTGAATCAGCCGCTTCAGATAGTGTACCCTTAGTCCACCGCTTCAGCACGTCCAATGCTGCCTTTGGCTGGTCCATAGGAACCATGTGACCCGCATCGTGAACCTGTAAGATCATCACACGGCACTGTCAACACCAGCTGCAAATTATTTGCTATCAATAGATTAAAGACAAAGATAGGGTTGGGTAAAGAGAAGACCTTTAGGAAACCAAGAGGTCCATAAGTTTTCAAGACTCCTGCTTCTGAGCCATCAACGACAAAAGGAACCTCAGGAGATGCTACAAACTCCTTCTGACCAGACCATTCCATTGAATGGACCCATCTCGAATTGCCTGTTGAAGAAAAATAACATGACCACATACAAATTGGCCAAGTAATTAGCTAGATGTATTTGGTATAATTATCACTAATTCATGAAATACTTACTAAGCCAGTTGCAGATGAGATCACATTCTCCAGCATATACAAAAAGCTTGATACCATCCTCAAGGAGAGCAGGAATGCCAACTTCGAGATTCCTCGTCCAGTCAACCAGCATGGCCTGATACACTGTAGGACTGCAGGATGCAAAGTCAATACTCCCAACTCCAAGGGCATCCCCAACAGATTTCTGGTTCAAAAATGCCTCCATGTTTGAGAAGTCATAGCAAAGGCTCCCTTCGCATCTGTTTCTAACGTCGTAGTACTGCAGACAGCACATTGGTGCATATCAAATTTTATTCAAAGAATCATAAGGGGTCAGGACACAGATTACTTTCGTCAACAGCTTATTCACAGCAAAGAGGTAGTTATAGGTAAGTGGTTTAACAATGGTGAAAAATATCTAGGTATCCTTTGCTTATAAAGAAAGCATTCAGAGAAACAAAAAAAAGAAAGAAGAAAGAGTATATAA